CTTACTAAAATATCGCTTTATGATAAAACAAAGGCCCATGAGGATCCTATAAATAAAAAAAAGGCCCTCGAGAAATTTGACCCTAAAAATGTACCTATGAACAAAAATAGAAAATAACCCTAATATTAGCCCAAGAATGATGTCAAAGAAAAACATTCCAGAAACGGCCCAAACAAACACTAAACTTGAAACTTGTAAGATGTAACATGTGACCAAAGGTATTTCCTAGACGTTTGATAACATCTTTTTTCTTGAAAAAAAAATATACTAATAACTTGTTATTTTTGAATGATTAAAAATATTTATAGTCTCTCTCTCTCTTTTTTTTTTTTTTTTTTTTTTTTTAAAGTAAAAAAAATTTTTTTTACTTTAAAAAAAAAAAAAATTTTTTTTACTTTAAAAAAAAAAAAAATTTTTTTTACTTTAAAAAAAAAAAAAATTTTTTTTACTTTAAAAAAAAAAAAAATTTTTTTTACTTTAAAAAAAAAAAAAATTTTTTTTACTTTAAAAAAAAAAAAAATTTTTTTTACTTTAAAAAAAAAAAAAATTTTTTTTACTTTAAAAAAAAAAAAAATTTTTTTTACTTTAAAAAAAAAAAAAATTTTTTTTACTTTAAAAAAAAAAAAAATTTTTTTTACTTTAAAAAAAAAAAAAATTTTTTTTACTTTAAAAAAAAAAAAAATTTTTTTTACTTTAAAAAAAAAAAAAATTTTTTTTACTTTAAAAAAAAAAAAAATTTTTTTTACTTTAAAAAAAAAAAAAATTTTTTTTACTTTAAAAAAAAAAAAAATTTTTTTTACTTTAAAAAAAAAAAAAATTTTTTTTACTTTAAAAAAAAAAAAAATTTTTTTTACTTTAAAAAAAAAAAAAATTTTTTTTACTTTAAAAAAAAAAAAAATTTTTTTTACTTTAAAAAAAAAAAAAATTTTTTTTACTTTAAAAAAAAAAAAAATTTTTTTTACTTTAAAAAAAAAAAAAATTTTTTTTACTTTAAAAAAAAAAAAAATTTTTTTTACTTTAAAAAAAAAAAAAATTTTTTTTACTTTAAAAAAAAAAAAAATTTTTTTTACTTTAAAAAAAAAAAAAATTTTTTTTACTTTAAAAAAAAAAAAAATTTTTTTTACTTTAAAAAAAAAAAAAATTTTTTTTACTTTAAAAAAAAAAAAAATTTTTTTTACTTTAAAAAAAAAAAAAATTTTTTTTACTTTAAAAAAAAAAAAAATTTTTTTTTTTTTTAATTTGATTCCTATATAAAAATTTTTATTTTTAATTTAACCTACACACGTGTAATTGTTTTCATACCACTTCGTCTTTTATTGTTGTAGACATACTACAAGATTAATATTAAGTTATAATAAAAAAATAACACCAAATTTTTATAAAAATATATGCATCAAGATTAAATTAAAAATAAATTATATATGGGCATGATCAAGTTACTTTATTTACTAATTATTTGTATATGTTAAATTTTAATACTTCAATTGCTAATTCAGAATTTGTTATTAAATAAATGAGCTCTACATTTTTATAATTTTTTAAAATCATTTGATACTTTATTAAATAAATTTTATTTAATATATAATACACTTTTAAATATAAATTAAATAAATGTTAACACTAAAATTATATAATTACAAATATCTAAAACAATTGGTATATATTATTGATAAATACATCACGAGAGAAACCATACTGACTTGCAATCTCGTTTTCAACATGCTTTTGAATAACATTTTTAATTTTAAAAGATGAACTTAAGATTTGACCTTTTAATATTACAATCAACTTCATTATTCTAGACTATTCTATCTTAACCATAAGTTTACATTTCTGAAAACGCAGCTTCATTAAACATTTTAAAAGGAAAATTTTACTACGTATTCAAATCATATATCTATCTCCACTTAAATTAATAGAATAACTAACATAATATTTAGGTGTTAATAGTCTAAAAAAAATCATCAATTACAAAATTATGAATAATAATCATAACATGTTTGGTTAAACCATTATTATCAGTTTAGTTGTTTAAAGTTGGCCAGATAAAATTATATGCATAGGATCTTAAGTTCTAATTTTGTTGTTCTCATTATAATTTTTTTAGATAAAAAATAACATGTTTGGTTGAAATTAAATATGAAAATAACTTATTTTTCAGAATAAAAAAATCTCTGAAAATTAATCAAATATTATAACTATCTCTCTTTTTTTAAAAAAAAAAAAAACAAACCCAATGAAACGTGTCCTGAAATATATGGATTTTATTGTAAAAGGAGAGGTGGAAGAAAGTTGAGCAGCAAAAAAAGTAAAAGATGAGAAATTGCGAATCGGATGCTATAGGGTGGGATCCGTTTAATTTGGTAGGCCCATTAAGAATGGCCATATAAAGTGTGACACTCTACACTTTACAATCTACTAGGATGGGTTGGATTCGGAAAGTGAGAAGTTTCCAAAAACAAAGCATTACTTTCTACTAATCAAGTGAAACACGTTGAAGATAAATTTATGTATTTTTTACTTTTTAACTTTCATTTTAAATTAAATAATAAAACATTTATATTTCTTCCACCTTACTTTACCATTTTTTATATATTTTGAAATAAAATGCACTATGATAACTTAAGGAACACAAATATCGTTCTCACTCTTTAATAGACGTGGTTGTAAATAACGTGATTTAAATGTTTGATATTGTATATAAGATTAAGATCCATGTTTGAAGTTAATAGAGAGAGGACTTGATGTAGTTTAACGTTAATTTTGATATATATAATTTTTAGACAATTTTATCCTTAAATATTTAAATAATAAAAATATTATTAAAAATTAACCATTCTTAAAATTCAAGACTCAAACTTTGAGATTTAAAGACTAAAACATAACACTAGAATTGATTTAACAAACATTAATAATTAATGATATTAATATATTTGATCCCACTAATAATAATAAAAATGATAACTATATATATTTAACGATGATAACAACCATAAAAATATTCACTATTTTTACTAAAGATGACAGTTTGATTTGATATACATAATTTTTAGAAAATTTTATCTTTAAATATTTAAATAGTAAAAAATGATATTAAAAATTAACCACTCTTACAACTTGACTCAAACTTTGAGGTTTGAAGACCAAAAGTAACACCAGAATTGATTCAACAAACATTAACAATTAATGATGTTAATATCCTCGATTCCACTAATAGTAATAAAAATGATAAGTATATATATTTAATGATGATAATAACTGTAAAAATATTCATTATTTTTACTATCTTATCAATGGTTTCTCTTGCATTGTCCAGCAAGAGCCATTTTGGTGAAAAATTTATAGTATTATTAGGAATAATTATTGGTTAAAATATTTTTTAATCACAAAAATACTAATAACTTTTGTAAGAACCATTGGAATGATATTAACTCCTATTTATTCATTGTTTATCTTATGTCAAATGTTTTATGAATACAAACTTTTTAACACACTAAATTCTATTTTTTTTTATTCAGGGCCAAGAGCATTATTTATTTTTAATTTCTCTCCTTATACCCGTAATATCCATAATAAGAATGATATTAATGATATCTAATAAAGATGAAAGAAAAGAAAAACGAAGGCCACTTGTGCAATATAAAATGAGGTAAGGAGTTGTAGTTGATAAGACTTTTAGTTATATTAATTTCATGACCTTGTGTTTTAATATATATAGCACATGTTTCTATTTTTAAGAGAAAACATGATAATTAAAATTTCGAAGTTCAGTTTCAAACCACAATTATGTATCTGATTTCATGCACACTAAGAAAAATTGTGAAGGAAATGTTAAAAAATGAGTGCGATTTTTTCTCCCCACTTGGTTTATGGAGAAATTTTTGCATAACGTTATTTCATCCATCAGTTTAATTATCAGATTGAATCAATTAACATTTCAAATATATCATCATTATTTTAACTAAAAGTAAATAGTTGCATAGATTTTAATCGATCAATGTTTGAAAGTGATGATAAGCAGATTATTAATAACTTTAATATACATAACATGTTTAGGGAAGTCTAAGTCTAACTCAAGTGATCTCAGCAACAAAATGACAGGAGTCCTTGAACGGACATGAATTTCTATGTTCAAGTATAATGTATGTTGGACAAATATTCGTTAATCTCTCCCCTTTCGTCAAGTTCGTCACTTGCCGTGACATAAAGTAGACAACTTTATTTTCGATCCGTCTTGCTTCATTAACAATTTTTGTTTTCTCACCAATCATCACACCTAATTTAGCAACTTGACCACTATTGCTAAAACAAAATTATATAATTAATGTGGTAGTGGTTGGTCCTTTGCAGCATCCTCCCACCAAAAAAACATGTTAGTGATTCTCATTCACTCCAAGCTTGTAATCAAAGTAATTTCAGGTAAGACAGCTAGATGTTCTCAAAAGCTAAAACCGCTAGATTTTGGAAAATAAGTATATTTGCATGCCAAGTTAGAATGTTTGCCCCCACAATCTCTTTTTAGAAGTTTATCCGATAATCGGCAACCAAGAAGCCTGTGAATTAGTTTCCTAAGTTATTTTTTTTTTGTCCACTTCTCCCTTTCTCATTTTTTGCTATTGGTACCTGTCCTTGTAAGAACTTCCAAACAAGCTAGCTAGTAGTAATGAGTAATAAGAGACAAACCCAAAACTGATAGACCTAAATTTTTGAACATAAATATCTAGAAACAATCTCTCAATTGCATTGGGTTAATTGTTGCTAAGATTTTTGTTTAACCATAAATCCAAAAACAAAGAATTAGAACCAAATGTGTACTCGTTTTGATAGAGAATAATGGAATAAAGGAATATATGGCAGAAATAATTGCATAGCAAGTTGTACACAACTTGTTAGCCGTAAAATAATGGGAAATATTTATAAAATTTAAGGACAAATTAAAAAAAGAAGAAGAAGAAGAGAGATTCTAAAACAAACACAAGGCAAGGATCCTTTGAGCGTGATGGAGATAAGAGAGAATGTTATTATTATAGTACTAATAATGACCGGAGAAAACAAAAGACAATGGAAAATAAGTGGGGAATAGGAATAGGAAAGTAGTCTGGTCCAATTCATCCCACATATGTTATTATTGGATTAACATCCATGGCCATGCGTGCTAAGTTCAATCGCTACATTCCCCTGAGCACCCTCAATATACCAACTACAGTAGTATATTATATAAATAAAGACAGGGCTGGGTCCTGTTTGAACAGGGTTATGTACAGCCACATCAAACTTTACAATTAAAAATGACTGTTATTAGTCATTGATGCCACAAAAACGGCAATTGTAGCATTTGTTGGGATCTAAAAGCCTTATACACAACGGCTTCAAAGAAAAAGAAAAAACCTTCTCCTTTTTCCATATTAAACACTCGGCCAAAAAAGAGAAGTGAATGATTAATGGAACCCTCCTCCGGCTGCGGTTGCAGCTTTGGCCAAATCCGGCGGTGGAGATGGCAGCAGGATTATGGATAAAATGCCACTGGCTGCAGCCGCCACTGCACCCACCACGAACGCCGGCAAGTTACCACCGCCAAATAGAGCATCCCATGGTCCACTTGTCACAGACACCACCATCTATACACACATGTACATATATAGTTAGTTAGTAATTCACACTAAATACACATTTACTTAATTAATTACTCTACGCATATATATTAAGTGAATTTAATTCTAACCTGTGGTATGACAATTGCAAGGTTGAGGACTCCCAGAGACAATCCTGAAAAATTTAACATAACACAAAAGGTTAAGCATTTTTACCAATTTAACGGAATTGTTAACTAAAAGTGGCTAGTTATTTATGATTGACTGTCTTACCTTGGCCTGCCCCTGAGGTACTGGAGAATATGGATGCCAGAGCGAAGGGTATGCTGTAAGTAATCTGAACAAATGAACCAACAGAAATTGTTAGGTTGCTACCGTGTCTTTGCGCTGCATAAAGCTCTTTGACTTTTCTTCTGTAAACCACTTTTAACCTTTTTCTTTAAGAGAAATAAGTGGATAAATGAAGAAAAGTAAAGAAGTTTCCCTGTGCAAAGAGCATCACGGGAAAGCTACACTGCTGTTTGCAAATTACAATGCAAAAGTTAAATGCATTCAATACAATCACGATGTATCCACGGGAGCCTCAAACTTTGGATAACTAAGAGATTCGATGATATCTTTTATTTTATGAGTTAATATGATCTGTTTATTATAACATATTTATCCGATCCTTTTCTATTTCTCTCATTTTTATTTATTTTTGTTGAAATTAATGATTAACTGAGTATAGGGTAGGGCACATATATGATATATTAGTCCTCCCTCTGCACCTTTATTGAAAAATGAATCCAATAGTGTCACGAGTGGCACTATTTAGTAGCATATTTTGTAATTAAACTGACGGTTCACAGTCAGAAAATACTTGAAAACAATTTGTTGGTTGTCTTTTCCAGCTGAAACAAGAAACAAGAGGCAAGCCCACAAATTTATTTTGAAGCACAGTCCAAATAAAATTTGTCGAATCGAAAAACAAAAGTGGTGAGTTTTGAGAAAAATCCTTAGCCCCGTTTTATATTAACGGGGCGGGCCCCAAGCCAAAAGGCCTGGTCTGCAGTAGAATATCGGCCACAATATTTTTATTCTTAAAAAACTGAAAATCTTGGAAGATCGTAAATTGACAAAAAAGAATTAGGAAAAGCATTTTAATGAGTAGTAATAAAGAAATAAGTAAATTACCGCGAGAGGGATGCCGAGGACGGAAAAGAGAGCTAACGCGCCGGCTTTGACGCCGGCGGGAGGAGGCAGAGGCTCATGGTGGGCGTTGGGGAGGAGGGTGTATTGGCGGTTGTGCTGAGCCAACTTGGTAACCAAAACGGTCATGGCCAAGCAAATGGCGAGCAAGAAGTTAACAATCCCCCACAACCTCTTAACGCCGCCAACTCCACGCGCCAAGACTTCAACTCCCAAGGAGGTGGCACCGAGGACGACGGAGTTCAACATGAGGCCCAAGGCACCCGCGCGCACGCCCCTATCGTAGGCCTTGCCCTCCCCAACGGTTCCTCCGTAGACCTCGCGGCCCATCCAGTCGGTGTCGAATAGCAAGAATGGGAACCACGCAATCCAGTTGAGACACGTCACCAAGAGGAGGATCCACATGGGCCGTTTCAGTTCGCGAAACGCACCGAATAACTGCCCGAAGCAGGGCATGCCCCCGTGCGACCCTGACCCCTCCTCCTCGCTCGCACCGTTGCTGCCTTTGTCCGACCCAAGCTGATTCTCCTTCACGTAGCTCAGTGCCACGGTGGCCAGCGTCAGGAGGAGCGCGATGGAGAGGAAGAAGCAGCTTTTCAGGTTGGCGCAGTACACGTCGCAGGCTTTCGTTTTCGTGAAGGGGAACACGTGGTGGAGGCCGCTGTAGGACCCCGCCGCGTACCCCAGCACGTTCCCCACCGCCATGAAGAACGAGAAGAAGGCGTTCGCGGACCGCGTCTTCCGGTGGTTGCCGGCCGAGAGGTCCGCCAGGAGGGCGCGGCAGGGGCCCTGGAGCATGTTGTTGGCCACGTCAAGGATCCAGAACCCCACCACGAAGATGGCGATTGCGCGGGGCCGGGTTTTCTTCGCCAGGTTGTCGCCGAACATGTGCCCGAGGTCCGCCGCGTAGCCGATCAGGAAGACGGCCACGGCCACGGCGAAGGCTCCGGCCGCGATGAAGGGGCGGCGGCGGCCGAAGCGGGAGGTGCAGCGGTCGCTGTGGTAGCCGACTATGGGCTGGACCAGCATCCCGGAGATTGGGCCGCAGAGCCAGATGAAGGCGGCCCATGTGTGGGGGATTCCCAGGAGCTGGACGTAGGGGGTGAGCAGGGAGAGCTGGAGGGCCCACCCGAATTGCACCCCGGCGGCGATGGACGCCACCACCATTATCTTACGGAGGGGACTGGCCTCCGCCGCCGGTGCCTCCATGTGGAGGGAGGAAGGCTTGGCGGGGTTGTTGTTGTTGTGTTTGGTGGAAGAGAGAGGCTCCATGTTGAGAGAGTTTGTGTGTGTGTTTGGGTTTAGTTGTGATGTGTGTGGTTTGGGGGAGTGTTGGGGGGTTTTATAATGGAGAGGGGTGGGTGTTGCTGTTGCATGTAATGTTATGGAGCTGGACAGAATCTATGTTATGACTCTTACTGTGCTAACTGCTAATTCTTTTTTCGCTAACCCTAACATTATCTAATCAACCAAATTCTACTCATTTTATTATTATATATACAGAGACACAGAATAAAACTAAGAAAATCCAAATTATTATTCTAATTATGGTAACTAAGAAAACTTTAAGTATTAGGAAAATAAATGATTTTTCTTTAATAATAAAGTGTGTGTGTGTGTGTATTGAATGCTACTGGCGCGAGTTTGGCAAGTCAACAGCATGGGAGATCATGCAAACGAAAAAGTTGGTTGCCTCGTTGGTCTCTGGCAAAGAAAGAAGATAAGGGTCGAGAGACTCGAGCAACCGCTGGATTCAGTGGAAATTTGGATAAAGGGACTATTATATTATAATAGAATGCAATTATATATGGTGTATTTAATAGAATTGCTGAAACCTGAATATAGGCTGAATTTAAAATATTTGGGGAAATTAGCTAGGTGTACGTGCATATCAATCAACGCTGCTTATCTAAGTTCAGTAGAGGACTAGTATATCTGAACTAGAACTGAACCGTAAGTTAGATGGAGTGTCAATTACTTGTATAAAATATTTTATGGTACAAATTCCAACATGAATATATATATACAACTGCTAGTATTAAGTATGAAATTAAGAATTGGGTACACAAGTGTAGACAGTAAGGTACATACCTATATAACTGTCTCAACTTATAGTTTTAAATACATGTGTCAATTTATACGAAACGATCCATCTAGTGCTATAAATCAACTAAATGTTGCAAACAAAGATTTGCAGGTCAAATATAAGGCACTTAATAGTCAATAGTCAATACTCTCTCAACAATCAACATCTTTGCCTATTTTTATTTATTTATCCACCCCGCCCCTCTCCCCCGGTGGTGGAGGACGGTGGTTAATTCATTTCCCGAAACATTTAAACCCCCCAAAACCGTAAAAATTCGTGTTGGTGCTTCTGAGACACACCTCAGAATTGCAATTTTCGGGTTATATAGTATGGAAATACACATAAATCTGAAAAGTTTCAATATATATTTAAGTTGCTTAGTTTTTATCACTCTTGAATAATATATATGACAATATATATTGTTGAGTGATATCGCTAATTGGTGAAAAATGAAAAATCTGCGATCATTCAACAATACAAGGGTCGAATTATTTTAGTTTAGTATACTTGATGTATACAATAAAGCTATAATTAACTTGATAAGTTCACTCTCTTCTCACTCGCACATGCCATCAATGAAATGCGTAGGAGTTGAGTTGTTGGGAACTTTGGATTACCAAGTTTGTAATAAAGTTCATTGAGATCCGAATCCATCGAATAGCTTGTACACGAAAAAAGTCTATCTGGTAGGTGTTATCCATGCTAGAATGTCATTTTATCCCTTAAACAATTTTAAAAGCTGCTTATAAACAATGATTTCACAATCCATTATCCAAATACTAATAAATAAAGTTTAAACGGTTTGAAATCAAGTAACTGAAAACGGTTAAAGTGCATGCGTTCCAATTTTTTCTTTTAACTTTTGTAAAACAAATCATAAAAGTAAAAGGGTGTCCATCTTTCTCATATTATGTGGGGAAGAGAAAACTTAAAAAAAAAAAAGAAGAAAAAAGGATCAGATTCGCAAAAGTAATAAAATGAAAAAGAAGTGCAAATTTAAAAGTTGGTCGTAAACCCACCGACACCCATTGACTGGTGGACCCCAGCAACCGTCTACGATGAAGAAACTGTGCCAAACACGACGACGACGACGTATTAATGTGATGGCGTCATCCTTCGCCGATAATAAGGGTATATTATATATATATATTAATGCATGCAAATTTTTTAAAAAAATAAAACTATTCTCCGTGTATTATATGATGAATCGATGATGATGATATATCATAAGAAAAAAATCATACCTTTGTGTTTATCTTTTATATTTTAATCTAATGTCCATTTCTCTACCTTTTCCTTTTTGTTAGAACATTTGAGAGATAATATATTTTGCTACGTTCACACGCACTTTGCAGTCCAATTTTTTTTTTTTTTAAAAACTCACTTTGCTCAGAGAAAATTGGGAAGAGGAAAGAAGATTAGGAGTAAAAAAAAAAAGGTTTAGTTATTTTTTAATTCGTTATAATTTTATAGAATTTACTTTTTAGTTCTAATATAATTAAAAAAACATTTCAATCTTTATTCATATCATTTTTCCTTTTTTGTCTTTTATAATTGTATAAATTTTCTCTTTTAATTTCTATAAAAATAGGCAATAGAGACTAAAAATGAACAAGAATATACACATAAAGATTAACAAAATATTTTTAACTATAAAAATTAAAAGATAAAATTTCTAAAAATTTAAAGATCAAAAGAATAATAATTAAACTAATTAAAAAAAATATTTGAAGTTAAAAAAACTTTAACCAACCCTGTTTTTAAATTATACATGTAACTATAAATAATTAACAGGGTAGAGGTATTTTAATTTATGCTGTCGTCTAAAAGTAGATTATTATATGCATGATAAGATTGTTAATTTTCGTAGTACTGTAATTAATTTGAGAAACATGTCTATAATAATTTCAGTCAAAAAGTTTATAATCCTCTTCTACATTTTTTTTTTCACTTACACATGACATAAAATTAAACTCTTTTATAAATATGATCAAAAAGTTTTTTCTATTACTAAAATTTGCATTACAGTATACCCATCAAACAAAATAATTAGAATTAAAATATTGAGTTATCTTATATACTACTAATAAGAAAAATTGTTCTATTTGATGTACATGTTTTTTAAGACAAAATTGTCCTTATAACTACCTTGTAAAATATGTTTTCTTTTTCCATCATTTTTTTATTAATTTAGTTTATTTTTATTCTTATTTTTTATTTTTTTTTTAATTCCTTAAAAACTACCCATACAATTATAAATACCCAACAATTTTTCATCATCTAATCATTAATAACTTTTACTTTCACTTAATTTATTTTTAAAAAATACACGAAGATATGAAATTTTTTACACTGATAATTGTACAAATAATAAAATGTCAATTTGATCCATGATCTATTATCAGTTTATCACCACCAGTTAATTATAAGGCTAATTAAAAAATAACTAAACCAATACAAAATGAATAATGCCATTTTTTTAATCTGGCATGATTTGATTTTTTGTTCTTATTGTGAAACTAATTAAACAACATATTATACTTATATTGTTTTTTTTACAAAACTTATTATATATATATATATATATATATATATATCAAATGACTGTAATTTTTGATAAAATTACTTTATTCAATGACTCATAGTGTTAAATTAATTGTTCAATTAAAATTTTTTAATATGTAGATAAGTCTATTTTTTTAAAAATTTAAAAATCATATAGCATTTCATTATATAGATTTAAATTATTAACGTATAAAATATTTTTATGATTATCCATCAATTTGAATTAACAAAATAAAATATTAAATAATTTTTAAATCTTTTTTAAAATTTATAAAAATTTGATATATACATTAAAAATTTTAAATTTAACAATTTAATCATTAAAATTTAATATACACTGTGTATTTATGAATTGTTTTATGGAGTAGTAATAAGTATGTACTTAAGTATAAAATTATTTTTTAAAATTATAAGCAAATAGTATAATTTTTTTAAAAAAATACTGCTGCTGTAAAAAAAAAAACTACTACTAATTAATTACTGCCACATGACATTAATTAAAGAATAAAAGTAATTATTTTTTTAAAGTGTAACAACATACTCTTTCATAGAATTATAGCTTCAATGTACTTAATAAAAAGAATTACATTTTGATTTCCAAACCAGGTTAATTAGGGAAATTTTTTGAAATTTAAATTTAAAAGAAATATTGTAGAGTGTGCACAATAAATTTTATTTTGGTGTCAACTATGGCAATTAATAAGAACAAGTAATGATCATTGACTTTGAAGGTGTATTATGAGTGAGGCGGGAAACTGCATGCACATTCAATTTGATTCATATCATCAATTCATCATCAGACAATGCCTAAATAAACGTGCCCACTGTACATCCAGCGCCTCATCTCTATAATGCGGCTTCTCATCGAACGGCTATCCATAAATATTTGTATACATTTATTAAAATGTAAAATTAAAAAAAATAAAAAATATATTTATTTTTTAACATATTTTTGTAAAAATAAATAATGTTAAAGTATTTTTATATTACAAAAAGTTAAATTTCTATTAATTTATGTAAGTATTTTAATTATTATGATTTATAGAATTTTAAATTATTAAAAAATAAATTAAACACAACTTCTAGGTTGGAAGTGATTCAAATGCAAGTTATACAACGAATATAGTGTATATGGTTAGATTTTTTTCTTTTATATTTTTTTAGGATTCATTTTATTCCTTTATTTTTTAAAAGAATTATTTATACCATTTATTTTTAAAATTTAGGATAATTTAGTGCTTATAAAATAGTTTTTCTTTTGTTTGGGAATATTTTTTTTTATTGATTTAAGATGTAAAATCTCTCTTTTTAAATTCATTTACGTGAAAATAATTTAATTTTTATTGAAATGGTGATAAAGAATTAAAAGTATAATTTAAATCTAAATTAATATATATAAACACTTGATCAATAACCAACGCATTATCATTCATGACTAATATTTATTTTTTTATTTCATACCAATGTTTTAAGGGTTTATCTTAAATTAATCTGATTTAATTAGAAGGTAAATAAAGACTAATTAAAAATTATTTTCATCAACAAACTTGAACACTAAATGAATAATTCAATATTGAGTTCTATACATTAACCATTTGTGTCCAACTCCTTAGTCATTAATTACTAATATGAAATAATTTAGAAAGTGCATCACATTTCACACTCACA